CAAAATGAATCATTAAATTCAAAAATTTTATTTGCTAATAATTTGATTGAATTGCACCATGACCTATGTTTTTTGATTAAAAGAAATTTTTTTTATATATATTTTATATATTAAACACATCTGCTTTCAATTATAGTTATAGAAAACATATTGCAGCTGTGAATCCCTTTCCACTCCAACCGCAATTGCCTTATCCAGTGGATGCCATGAATGATTGCTCTTGGAATTTTAACACATGCTCAAATGCTACATTTGGAAGAGATATCAATAATCCAAGACAAGTAGAGCTGCCGTGCACAATATCTGATTTGAGTTTGTCACCAAGAAGTCACATTCGATGTCATGGGGGGCTGTTTTCAATCATCAATGCTGGACCTGGAAGCCATATCAATTATCCAATCCAAGTGGGGTTGCTGCCTAGGTATCACACTACCAATGTGAACGACATTCAACCTCGTTTGGAGTTGACTTCTACCATCTGTGCTGGAAGAGATATTGAATATCGAAGCCAAGCAGGGCCGCAGCATACTTTTCCTGATTTCAGTTGGCCATATAGAGATTGCATTACTGACATGAATCATATACAACCTCATGTGGGGTTGCCTTCTACCATCAAGCCTGGGAATGATCACTCTTGGGACTTTGGTGGCAACTTGAATGGTCGAGTCGAAACATATCCAAGGCCTTCTTATAACGTGCAGTGTTCTGCTGTTGAAAGATGGGGGTATAATTTTGATGTGCCATATTCTTTACCTGAGGTAGCAAAGCATGACTTCGGAAGACGGATGGTGGAAGTGCGAAAAAGAACCTCCGGAGAGGACTTGTATTTAAAGCATGAGAACCACATGAACATCTTGAGTTTAAAGCGGCCAAGGGTGCGGCCAGGGGTGCTGCAACTCTAATCTACTTGTTAAATGCTGGTGAGACCTGGGAATTGTGGTAATGGTATTGGAATCTAAGAGGATGTGTGTAGATTTGTGTTCGCCAACACTTTATTGATGTTTTGAGTTATGAAGCTAGCTATGCATTAGTGCGTATAGCATCAACTATGCAAGGACTGTTCCTTGCTTAAACTGAGAATCTGTTTTGGAAATTATATTTTGGATAAAATAGTTACTACTTTATATCTTGTCATTGTTCTCTCTAGCTCGTTTTCCTACTGCGGCATAGTGAGAGGTGGAAAACAAGATTGATTTTTTATTATTATTACTATTATATGATAGATAAGAAGGAAAGCGCTGAAAAGAAAATATTAAGCATTTTTCTGGAAAAGCCTTGTAATCTGACTTGGTCTGCAGAACCGTGTTCCATATGATTACATTAGTTTAATGAACCACCGTAAGGTCAACTCATGGTATGTGCAATCCAAATAATTTTCTCAGTATGTAGGCTATAAAACCACCGAGTCCCCTGCCTGTTCGTATTATCTTTGTTCTCCGCTCCAAAACTCAGTTCATTAACCCTTACCCTCTGCATACTACATACCATAGATACAACATGAAGGTAAGGCCTGTCTTCTCTTTCTTTTCAAGTTTTCAGTAATTTTGAATCAAAGTGCATACGTATTCATGAATTGTCTGTTAAATTATGACTGGTGCAGCAAAAGATAGTCATCAAAGTGCAAATGAGCTGTGAAAAATGCAGAACCAAGGCGAAGAAGATTGCTGCTGAAACAGATGGTTAGTAATGGCACCACCACGTTAATTACCAGGAAGATGGGATTTTCCTTCCCTTCTAAAATCTAATCTCTTTATTTCCTTGCTGAGTCCTGACTGACTAACAGGTGTGAGCTCATTGGCTATAGAAGGTGAAGACAGAGATCAAGTTGTTGTGACCGGAGATGGAATTGATTCAGCAAATCTGACCCGTATACTCAGGAAAAAGGTTGGATTCGCCACCATACTTAGTGTGCAAAAAGTGGAAGAAAACGTGGATGTTGGCAAGGAAGAAAAGCCTGATCCTCCATTTCCACCAAATGACTATCCATATTGGCAGTGCCTTACTCCCACGTTCCACCAAGTGGTCTATGATCCCACCCCAAGTATCTGTTCCATCATGTAATAAACATAGGAGTAATTAAAGATATGTGTTTGCTCGTGTTGGAAATACATGATTCCAGTGTCTTCACTTGGATTGTTACTGATTGTGGTTAATAAATGTACTCTTATCCTAAGAGGTGGTTTAATTTAATAGTTAAAATTTTGAGATTTTAAATTAAAGATCTTAAATTTTTACCCTACTCAAAGTATTATTTGTTTTTTTGTGTAACCTATTATTATCAGATATAAAAAAATAATAATAAATGTACTCCTACTATTTAATCAAAACCATAAATAACAAAATAGTCTTTTTATTCTTTACGATTTGAATTTTAACAGAACATTAGAAAGAATTTCCATCGTGGAAGAATTTGTAGGTTTCACAGCACTTGACACACCTTTCCATGGATTAAAGAAAAGGGAGGAGCTATTCTTAATCAGATATACAAAAATAAATAAATAAATGTGCTCCTACTGTTTAATCAAAACCATGAATAACAAAATGGTTTTTTTTTCTTTACAATTTGAATTTTTACAGAACAATAGAAGGAATTTCCATCTTGGAAGAAATTGCATGTTCCACAACACTCGATACACCTTTTTATAGATTAAAGAAAAAGAGAGAGTTATTTTTTTTTTTTGTGTAATTTATTATTATCAGATATATAAAAAAAATGCACTCCTACTATTTAATCAAAACCATGAATAATAAAATGGTTTTTTTATTCTTTACAATTTGAATTTTAACGGAACAATAGAAGGGATTTCCATCTTGGAAGAAATTGCAGGTTCTACAACCATGGATACATCTTTCCATGGATTTAAGAAAAAGAAAGAGTTTTTTTTTTTTTTTTGTATAACATATTATTATCATATAAAAAAAATATGTGTACTCTTGAGTCTAAATAAAAAAAATTTAATTAAAATTCAAAAAAAATTTTAACTGTATTTTTTTAGTCTTTTGAAATTTTTGTTTTAATTCAATTAAGAAAATTTTCTTAATCTTAGTCCGAATTCCTTTTTCAAATTGAACTAATCACTTGATTTATTATAGATATTTAATAGTATTCTAGTATATGTGGAAAAGTCATCTATTAATTCTTTTTAATTTATTAATTTTTTCAAATTTTAAACTTTTAGAATTAAATTGTTATATTTTTAATTTTGAGGACTAACTCTATAAATATTCTATTCTTAATTAAGAAGCTAAAATCTTCTGATCTTTAAATTTAAGGGTTAAAAACTTTATACCATGAGATGAAATGCTAAAAAGGGTTTAGCCCGTAATATATGATGGAAAAACTATATAATATAATTTTCATATGTCTAGATATATACACACAGAGAGTTGACATGGCATCTCTCTGAAGAGCAATGCTAGGGGCACTCGCCTCTTGCACTCTACCGCTAACACTTCCCCTTTCATTGGGCCACGTAAGCTTGTTTCAAACTTTGAAGTGCAACCTCTCGCCGACGAGAATAACGTGGCCCAATAAAAGTGAAAGTGTTGGCCGGAGAGTGCAGAAGACGAGTGCCCCTAGCACTCCTCTCTCTCTGAATTGCTTTATAATAAGGGAAGACGTTGGGCTGGCAATTTGTTTATAGTTAATATTGTTATAAAAAAAATTTTAATTTAAATTATATTAAATTATACAATTTATACTATTAAATAAAAAAATCTTGAAATTAAGAGTTTATTCTCATAAAATAATTTTTTTAATCCGGTACAAGCACTCCAATTATATATCAGATTTTTTCGAGAAATTCTTAATTAATTCCCACTTCCATTTTTCTTCTTAAAAAAAAATTTCCCACTTCAACTTTTCCATACTCATCAGCCATAAGTCACAGTCAAGACAAATGGAAATTTCTCCTAAAATACCAATGGAGACACAGGAAAATTCTTCATGCATGGAACTACGGAATGGAACTCATTCAAAGTTTGAGGTGTGTATATTAATAATTAATCTGTTTACATCAAGAATCCGGATGGAAATTTCTGGTCAATCTAATCAACCTTCTTTCTTTTCATCAACCTCCACCAAATCATACAATCATTTGCGCCCGCAGCAAGGAAAATTGTCTATGTAAATTGGCTTTTGATACTATAATAATACATTAAAACTATTTACACTAAAGGAACACTTGAGCAATTCAGGGTATGCATTTCCCGCAGATTTAGATCACAATTCACACGCATTACCATTTGACTCAATGGGTTCAAAATCATTAGGAGCAATTACTACAGAAACAGGTTCATACTTTGAGCGCCCATTGTTTTGGGCCTAACTTTTAATTAAAAAAAAATTTATATAAGGGATATTGTCCTTTTTTAAAAAAAAATTCTTTTTACTTAATTTAAAATTTAAATATAAAATTTTTAATTTCAAAATTTAAGTTTCTTAATTAGTTGAGTCATCCTAATGTTGTTTCTAATTACTCCTTCCTCCATTTTAGATGTTAAAATAGCACATTTATTTTAATAAAATTTTTGTGATATTCATAAATAGATTACAATAATAATAAAGATAAAATTAAAATAATAGTATTTAACAAATAGAAACTTGGACAACTAAATTAAGAAAACTTAAATTTAATAAATGCGATAACTAAATTGAAATGAAATGAGCAGTTTTAAATGAGAATTTTTTGGGCAAATAAATTAAAACAAAGGGAGTAAATTCTACATATAAATTCTAACTCCATAGAAACTCAATTTAAAAATTAAAAATAAATAAATAAATAAAAACACTTCAAAACTCCATATATAGAGTCCCAATGTATATAAATATTCCGAAATAATTGCTTAATTACTTCAAACCGGAAGACAAGGAAGTTCCATCAAAGACATCCTTTTTATAAATAATATAATAAAAAGATTTAAATATTTTTAATAAATTAATATACAATAAAAATTTATTAAAGATATTTAATTAAATAATTTTATAAATAATTTTAACATTTAAAATACTAAAATATCTTATATGCATTATTCCATTGCAAGAAATGATTAAGTTTGACATAGAATCATCGTCTACCAATGTCCCATATACCTAAAAATATTTCCAAATATATTAGTTCCTAGAAGATTCCGGTCCATTTCAAGGATTAAATTAAACAAATTTGACTTGAATCATATTAATTTCACATGCATTATGTTGGCTGAAATGGACCCTACCGACAATTTATTCTTGGAGATAAAGTAGTACTAAGCACTCTTTCCACTTCAAGAGGAACAAATTGAGGCACTTAAATTTGCTCTCTCGTCTCACAATTTTAATGGGCAATTTTGTTTCTATAGAGTAGTTTGTTTTGGTTAGTTGATTAATGGTAGTAATCCATTTTTTACATTAAATAATGTAAGAGTGAAAGCAAAATTTTATGATATTCTAGCTTTATGCCAGCCTGCCAATCACTGAAATTGTAACTTGCGGTCTCTATAAGGGAGAACTTTTTCAAAGCATGAATCACACAGATACAAAGTACTAGTAGTAGGAGTTTTGTTTGTGAAGTGGCTGCAACTTCACCCAGATAGCTTTCTTTTTTTTTTTTTTTTTGAATTGCAAATTTTTATTAATAGAGTACAAGGGGTACTCCTACCCCTTCATACATATTCTATTTAGTTGTTTCCATATACAAAATAATAGGAAACCATATAAAGTATAAGCTTACAACCCTGCAAGACTCAACCCAGAATCCTACCCTTCCCTCCCTTACATTTAATCAATTTCGCACATGCTTTAGGATTTACTATCCAATCTGATAGAGGAAACAAATCTACTCCTAGTCTTCTTGTTATTCAGTGGTATTGTTAGGTTCTCTTTGTTTTTTTTTATGATGATTTAAAACCATGATTTAAAAGAGTTTAATCTATTTTTGTGCTAAGTGTGCAGGAAAATTAATCCAAGGTTTCTAATCTTTCCCCACGATTAGAATTAACTCATGATTCTCCTTGTTCAGAGTTCTGGGTTCGAACCAATTTATTTTGGTTCGAATCAATCCCGAACTTTTGTTTTCTGAAAATGGTTCGAACCATTATTTCTGGGTTCGAAGCAAAAAATTTTGGAAGGGTAAAATTTTGACAGCTCAATTATCTGTTTATTTTTATTTTTAATGGCCTTGGGGGAACCAATTGTCTGAGTATTTTCTAAAGTCAAGTAAAAAATAATAAAGTAAGGTGGAATCCAATTGGAGCATATGTGAGGTGGCTTTGAAGGGCTAAATGGGCAATTAATGGCAAGGCTCCCAACCAATTATTAAAACACTAAAAAATCAGATCTGGACTATAGTGAAGAAGGACGAACTGCTTCAGAGAACTGAGTTTGAAATTGTTCTGGTTTTCCTTCTTCTTTTCTTCTTGTGAGGCTTTTGGGTATATTGTCTTACAAGGGTTTTGTATTCTTCTTGGATTGGGTTAATCCTTGAAGGGGTTGAGTGAGTTGAGATTCACTTGTGAGGGTTTAATCTTGCACCCGCAAGCAAGAGTTTGTTCCGGTTTAATCTTGCACCCGTAAGCAAGAGATTTCTAGTGGATTGAACTCTCGAGCAAGGAGACTTGGGGAGTGGACGTACTCCGGGTTGGAGGAACCACTATAAATCCCGGCTTGATTTTCTCTTCCCTCTCTTTTATTTTTCTGCACTATATTACTTTTGTGTGTTCTGCTTAATAGTTTATAAATTGCAGCTTTGATTTAAGTCTTGAAAGAAAAAGAAACAAGTTTTTAAGTTTAAATTGACAAGACCCAATTCACCCCCCCCCCCTTGGGTAGCTAGTTGAGATTACAGGTATGCCCTTGCTTGTATTAATCCCAGTAGGTTCTCCATATCAACCTCTATTCCTCGAAAAATTTTGTCATTTCTACACAGCCATATTGACCAAATAAAGGCAAACCAAACAATTTCTCATCCCACATTAGTTGATTTTCTTTCAGTAGGCCAGCAGTGTTGCATAAAAGCTTTACAACATTCCGAGTGTAGCACATATGTTACATCCCTCCGGTTAAAGCACTTTAACCAAAGCTTAAAAGTTATAAGACAAGTTAATAACCAATGATCAACATTTTCCTCATTTTTTACACACAACACACACAGACCACCTTCTTCAATATTAATGATTCCTCTAGCAATCATCCGATCCTTTGTTGGCACTCTATTGAATAAAAATTTCCACATAAGTGCACATACCTTCTTGGGTACCAAAGCATTCCAACACCTTTTGAAATTTCCTTCTTGCCTTTGGGGGTCGTTGTGAGCCAGAAATTTGTATGCAAACTTTGTGGAATAAATCCCATCTTTCTCAAGTTGCCATTCCCATTTGTCTTCTCTGTTCTGGTGAGGTGAAATCCCTTGGAGAAGAGCTTTAAACTGTTGCTCGATATTGACTTCTCATTGGAAGAGTTGCCTTCTCCAATTAATATTCCAATCCCACTTGCCATTTGACCAACATCCCATCTTAGCAACTGTTTTCTCTTTATTGCAAATAAAGCATACAAATTTGGGTAATTTTGACATAGAGTGCCACCCCCCTCCCAATTATCTCTCCAAAAAGACACCAACTCCCCTTTACCTAAAACTAACTTAAAATTCTTTTGTAACCAACCCTCATTTCCTTCCATCACTCCATTTAGACTACATAAATTCTTCCACCATTGAGACCCCGAGTTTCCCTCCCTATTCAACCAATGAGCCCAACTAAATCTATCCATTCCCTATTTTCTTTCTAGCACTTGTCTCCAAACACCATTTCTCTTCGAAGCTATTCTATCCCACCATTTTCCTAGTAAAGCCACATTAAATGCTCTAAGATTCC